AAAAAAAAGGATAAAAAGTTATTCCTGTATTTCGCGTCAACCTCGCACGCAATATTAGCTGTTTCGATGAAGAGAGAAATTCAAATGTAAGAATGCACAGATTTATAAGATGACCATCACAACTTTTAGAAAGGTAGGGTAAGTCATATGTAACTGACAGTTACCATCAACTGCATTGAAAGTCTACCTAGTAAATGAGAATTTCAAATCAAACCAAAACCCGTTAACATACGGTTCCTTGCACAACTAGATTAGTCTTCGTGGCAACGAGTCCCTGATTTAGACAATAGGCAATTGTGGAACTTCTGGGCCGCGACTCCCATTCGCCCACCATTGAATCCAGCGTTATAGTTGGTCGCCGTCCAACTGAAATGTTAGAGTGTGGGCGATTAAACTGGTAGATTCTCTTGATCACCTATAGTGGGAAGAAAACAGCCACCATCGGTTGATTCCTCACTGAGAGAACCAAGCCCGCTAGTGAACACCGAGTCACCCGTCACAGCGCGCTCATGACGAGGTTGGAGATCCTCACTAAATCGTGATCAATATGAATAGGATAGATTTAGGCCATGCTTTGCTTATTACCTTTCTCGTTGCGATATTCTCTTCGATTCAGAATGAACACTAACACCGGTAGAGCTTTTCGTTCTGCGCAACTTGGGTAACGACCCAGGTATACGAATCGATTCCGAAGATTTGGAAAGCCCAGAACTGCTCGCTCGACGTCGAGAAAAAGTAAGAGGTTGAAGTTCGCTGCTGCTTCTACTTCGAGGCGACCTCACGATAATCTAAAATTCACATTGGTTGATTACAAGTATCTGAAGAATTAGGTAGAGCTGGTTCCGAAAAAACTGAGACCTGAGGATTTGCTGGAAATGGCAACGGACTCTGCGATACAGAATCAAAATTTTCGCCCCTCTTTCTCATTTCTCCAAGCGCATCGCGATGTCTATTGCTTTCCCAACCCAACTGCGCTAAAGCTGCTGCTCCTGCAAAAGTAACCTTCACCAACAATGATTATACTCCAAAGTCCAACACTACTAAAACACTTGCCAGGAAGTGATGTGCTCAATAGATTCAGCGCCCAAAAAGCGTAACCACGAATCGTAAGGATAGATGATTCTTCAGCAAGGCGAACCACTTGTGGTACAGTCGCAACAGGGAGCAGGGCGAAGCCTGCATGCCAGTTTTCGCACATTGTGAACCACGATTGCCAAATTTTTTTTT